GAATGAAATAGATTGATTCGAGGGCAAGTGCTCTTGGATGTTGGTAGTAGTAGGTGCTGCTTGGTCGAAGCGGGAAGGAAACCCAGGGTGGAACTGTTGCTCTTTTCAGGGTGAACAAGGAAGGCGGCGGCGAGGCCAGGCCAGATGTTTGTGTGTGTGCTAGGCGGGGTGGTAGGAGGGAGATGTAGTGCGGGGCGAAAGGCAGTCAAGCAATGCTGGGGACAAATTGGCTTGATCCATTGAAATGTGCGCCTGCATTTTGGAGTCGCGGCAACCATCCTCAGCATTGACATGCGACGTGGGCCGATGTGACATTATGCAAATGCCCTCGATACAGAGTCGATATTACGGACCGCGCTGTGGACTTGTAGGTTTGAAAAGTCGGTCTTCGGCGCTGATTGGCTTGCGGCTTCTGATGTGTTCGTGCTGAGCTGACTCGAGGAAAGCTGAGACTGCAATTCGACAGCGTGGGCACACGCTCTGTCAAGTCACCTTATAGCGGAACAAACCACAATCTTTGGAGCTTTCATTTCACTAAACAAATATTCAAGAAACACGCTGGATACAAAACACAATATATGTATTCAACTGATGTGAGTGCTTTGCATTGTCCAGCCTGGCATCAGAACTCGGATCGTGCTGTGTTAGGGAGTTGCCCTCAGCATTCAGCCGAAACTGTGAACCTAGGGATCTGTGCGACTGCACCTTTCAAGTAGGCGTTGCAGAATATAGCTATGGCGGTGTGGTAGGCACCAGTTCGAAACTGCCAGTCGTACGGTCTAAATAATCGGAGATAGAAGCCAAGGTTGTTAAATTTAACGGAGCTGAGTGCGAAGGCACTCGAGCAGGCGATCATCTCGCGGAGCAGTTACTATTCACTACGAGATCCGCGATGGCGTGGAACGCGTTCAAGTTCTGCACAGGCTTGAAGATTCTCGGATCCATTATGATCCTCGTCGTCCTCGCTATAATCGCGGTTACTTACTACGCTGTAGTCATCGCGAGTTACGGCCCTGAGCTATCCAAGGGAGGCTCCACGTCGTTCATCGCGTTCCTCGTGCTCGCCGTCTTCCACGGCCTCGTAAGCCTTCCCTTCCTCGTCGTCACACCATTCTACGATCGTTCCCCGCTTGCGATTCGTCTGCATGAGCTTTCTTATTCACCACCGAATTCCGCAGTACCCGCCTCTCGCGAGACTCGTTTGATTCACAGAGAGAAATCCGTGCTATTCCTCCTCTTTGCCCCTTGTCTCCTCCGCTCTCTCCCCTCTCTCCCTCGTCTCTCTCTCGTCTCGTCCTCCCACTCTAGCTCGGCATGCTGCTCTGGAGTTACTTCTCCGTTGTGCTCACGGACCCTGGTGGTGTACCACCGGACTGGCATCCCTTCTTTCGCGGCGACGACGATCTCGAGGCGCAGTCGCTGCAAACCCTAGACACCCACAGGCAAGCCGCCCTTGGGAACTACCCTCCTTCTGCCGCCGCCGCTGCCGCTGCTTCTGCTGACTCTGGTCGGTTAGACTCTGCTGCCAGCGTGGCAAGCGCTGGCGTCCTTTCCGAGTCAGCATCCGACGATCGCGAGAATGACGATGACAGCTCAGCAATGGATGACCCTCGTGCTGCTCTTGTGGGGCCCACGGGCGGCAGGGCGGGCATGGAGAACGGCGGGAAGCAGCAGCAACAGCAGCAGCTGCAGCAGCAGCAGTCGCAAGCAGTGTCGCGCGGAGGAGGAGTGGGGATGGCTGGAGGGAGAGACGGAAGGGCGGACGCGGGGATGGGGAGCGGGGCAGTGGAGGTTCGGCGGTGCAAGCGGTGCTTGCAGTTCAAACCGCCTCGAGCGCACCACTGCTCTGTCTGTGCGTCTGCTTGCCTCTGTAACTCTGTCTTTGCATTGAACGGTTATGTTTGCGAGTGCACAGTTTCTGTTGCTGTGCGTGCTTCTAACGTGTGTGGCTCCGTTCCATCACTGCCCCATGCTGCTTCGCACCCCACCCATGCGCCCTCTCGCTCCACGCTCACACCGCCACGTCTCTTCCTGTCCCCCACCACCACGCTCATACCATGGCATGCATCAGGCGGGCGGTGCATATTGAAGATGGACCATCACTGCGTGTGGGTGATCAACTGCGTGGGCGCTAAGAACTACAAGCAATTCCTGCTCTTCCTCGTCAGTGCCCTGCTGCCTCTCCTCCTCTTGCTCCACCTTCCACCTCCCCCTCCCACCCTCCCACAATCACTCTCACTCTCCCACTCCATATCACTCTCACCTTTCACCTCTCTCCCTCTTCTGTCTATACACTCTCCCACTACCCCCTTCCTCCCGTCTTTCTGACCCTCAACCCATCTGCGCTTCACTCCTTTTTATTCTGACCATCCCAACCATCCTGCACCTATCACCCCCGCTCTCCATTCTCATTCATCTTCCCTCAACTTTTTCTTCATCTGTTTCATACCACATATGCATTATACCACGCATGCATTACCTGCGGTAGCGTATCCTAACTTGTACCTTTCCTTATCCCCCTCCCAACGCCCTACCGACCCACCCCACCCACCATCCCTGGATATGTCACCCATCCCTGCCCCCCTGCCTATCACCATCCCTGCCCTGCAGTTCTACACGTTTTTGGAAACAGCGGTGGTGGCGGTGGTGCTGCTGCCGCACTTCATAGACTTCTTCACCACACCACCTTCCGCCAGTGACGATGCCACCAAGCTCGCCACCGTCTTCCTCTCCTTCGGTACGTTCTGTCTACACATTTGTAGAGATGGCAGTGGTGGCGGTGGCACTGTTGCCGCACTTCATAGACTTCTTCACCACACCGCCCTCCGCCAGCGATGATGCCACCAAGCTCGCCACCGTCTTCCTCTCCTTTGGTTCGTCCTTCATGACCCCTCTCCCTTCTCCCCCCCACTCCCTGTTCCCCCCTCCTTATCTGCCTCCTTCGCCACTGCATTACTTCCGTTGTGATGGTGTGCCTGCTGTGTGATTCCATCCATCTCAATCATGTGCCTCTGCTCTTCCACTCCATTCCTCTGCCATTTGCCACTTAATTCCCCCTCTCCAATTTTTTCTGCATCCTTCCCCCCCGTTCCTTTTCCCTTGTCCCCATTCTGCTCCGCTCTTCCCATCAGTGCTGAACATAGCATTCGCCGTGAGTCTGCTGGGGTTCCTCATCATGCACGTGTCTCTCGTGCTCGGCAACACCACCACCATCGAGGTGCGTCCCACCATCACATCTGCTCTTTTACCCCAAAAGTACCCCTGTCCCCCGTCGGCTCATGCTCACACGTGCAATCTGCTCATGCACCCCGCTTCCCCTCCCTCCCCTTCCCAACCCTTATACCTCCCCTTTACCCCGCCCCCTCCTTCTCTCTCTCTTCCTGCGTGCAGGCGTTTGAGAAGAGGGGGTCGCACAGATGGCGATACGATCTGGGCAGGCGAAGAAACTTTGAGCAGGTACGGGTGTGCCGTATCTGTGCGAGTGTCCGTGTGCTCGCGGGCACATCCACGTATCTCCCTTCTCCCTTGTGCGCTTGGCCCGTGGTTCATGGGCTTCCGTCTTTTTTACCCTACTTTTATTGTCACATCTGCCCGTGCACATGTGCTTGTCTCCGTGTGTGTATGCATGTGTTTCTGTGTCCGTGCGTCCCTGTGTCCTCCCATGTGTTCCTGTGTGATGCGCACATACTCATGTTGCATCCCACCCGCACCAGGTATTTGGCATGGACAGAAGGTTCTGGTTGTTGCCCATGTATTCACCAGATGACCTGCGTCGAATGCCAGTGCTGCACGGCCTGGACTACCCCCACAACCCTGAGTACCTTCAAGAGTTTGAGGTCTCCAGACGATAAGTCCGTTTGGTACACTAGAGCACCTAATGCTGTACATGTGATGTTAGCGTATGTTTTTTCCCTAAGTGTTATCATTTATTGAAATTAAACAACACAAGCGAAGCATTCCTGACCCAGCAATGCGGTAAGAAGCGCCAGTGGCAAATGTGGGGCCCATCCTGATTAGCTCTTAACTCAGAATGACAGCATGTACAGGTGGTGCTGTGGCGCATGGTAGCGAGCGAAGGGATGTGCTTGGCATGTGCTTGGCATGTGCTTGACATGTGCTTGGCATGTGCTTGGCATGTGCTTGGATCACCAAGAAGGCCTGTGTGGCAGCATGGTACGGGGTGAGGGATGGGGAGAGGCAGGATAGACATGTATGAACGAACCATCAAGATGTAAACTGCACATGACGGATATGAGAGTGTTAAAAGAGGTGAGGAAGGGCAGGAGGCAAGAGGCACTGACCCCTCTCCATCCAGGTTTCCTCATCAGCAGCCTTGACTGCTACCCCAGAATCCTTTCAAGTCAACTCAAGAATCACACGAGCAGGAGGCAAAGCAAAATGGTAGGAGGTGTAGCAGGAGGAGAAGTGTTTTAATAGTAGTGGTAATGGTAATGGTAATGGTAATGGAAATGAAAATGGTAATGGTAATGGTAGTGGTAATGGTAATGGTAATGGTAATGGCAATGGTAATGGTAATGGTAATGGTAATGGTAATAGTAATGGTAATGGTAATGGTAATGGTAATAGTAATGATAATGGTAATGGCAATGGTAATGACAGTGGTAATGGTATTGTTAGTGGTAATGGTAGTGGTAATGGTAGTGCTAATGATGATGATAATGGTATTGGTAATGCTAATGGTAATAGTAGTGGTGATGGTAATGATAAATAATGGTAATGGCAGTGGTAATGGTAATGGTAGTGATAATGGTAATGGTAATGGGGACAAGAGAAGTAGGGCGCAACGCAATAGGCAGGAGGCAAAGCAAATGAGCAGGAGGTATGGCACAGAAACAAGTGCACTGACCCCTTGCCATCGATGTTGTCCTCATAAAGGTTCCCCGCCTCCACCGCCACCTCAAACTCCTCTTGAGTCAACTCATGAATCAGATGCAGGAGACAAGAAAAGCACAAGAGAAGGCAAAGAAGCAGGAGGTACATCAAGGGAACAAGTGCACTGACCCTTCCCCATCGATGTTGTCCTCGTCAAAGTCCCCCGCCTCCACCGCCACCTCAAACTCCTCCTCCTCCCCCATCGCCCCCTCCCCCTCCTCCTCCTCCCCTTCCCCCTCTGCCACCTCATCCCCCTCCCCACCCACCCCCCCATCCCCCTTGTCCAGCTTCCCCCCGTAATCCTCCAGAGTGGGCGCTCTTTTGAAAGCAGGCCCTGCTGCTGTGCCTCCTCCTCCTCCTGCTGCTCCTGCCGCTCCCTCCCCCTCGCCCTCGGCTTGAGCCAACGCTCTCATCTTCTCAAGGTGGTCACTGGCGAAGATGCGGTGGAAGGGGCGGGACACCTGCAGGGGGGGGGGGGGGGGATGAGGGATATGGGCTCTTGGCAGCACGTGGAAGCACGCGGCAGCACGCGGCAGCACGTGGCAGCACGCGGCAGCATATGAGAGCACATGGAATGGTAGTACATGGCAGAACGCAGGCACACCTTGAGGTATCGGTTCGTGGAGCGTGCGTGCTTGACCAGGTTGCCCCAATGCTCGTCCACCATCAACGCTGCTGCATTCGCCACCACCTGTGAGCATGCTCCCATGCACCCATGCAGAAGTGAGCACAGGAGATGCCTTTGAACGCGATGTGCGGATGATGCAGCAGGGATGCTGAAAGGAGCATGAGAGCAGGGATACACATGGAAGGGTAGCAGATGGGAGCAGCATGAGAATTCCCACGATCATGGCGGACTGACGAGCAGAGGAAGGCTCACGAGCATGGAGGAGCGGGCGCGGGTGATGCCGACATTCATGCGCCGATAGTCTGACAGAAACCCAATGCTCTTGCCCTTGCCCCTCCCCGCCCGCACACACGAGAAAATTATCACGTCCTTCTCTCGGCCCTGCAAGCATCACATGAAAAACGCATGACCACATGATTGCATCAGCGTAATAACGAATGGTGTACACACGCGAGAAGATGATCACATCCCGTGGAAGCCACTTACAAAGCCATGAGCGCACCTGGAAGCCATCAACGGTGTTGACATCCACTCTATGCGTCCCCTCGCCCAGCAGCTCTCGAAACTTGTCCCTCAGCAGCTTCACCTGAGAGGAGGAACCAGATAGGGGGCATGTAGGAGAGCAGTGAGGAGATGTCCAGATGAAGAGGTTACACAGACGCGTCATTTGCAATGCACCTCGCAATAACTGTACGGGGAGATGACACACGGGTTGCATCTCACCTGGTGCTTGTACGGGGAGATGACACCGACGTCAGAGGACTCCTTGAGTTGCGGGTACAATGCCACCAGATGCCGATACAGCACCATCACGAATTCCGCCTCGTCCGCATTCATCCACGAGCCGCCAGCTGGTATGCAGCAGGGGAAGAATTGAACAGGAGTGAGGAGAGAGGCATGGGTGCAGTGGAGGGAAGATGAAGGAGAGGTTGCCAGCAGATGCCAGCGGGAGGGGGAGGTGTCACGTCAAGAATAACATGGGGCCGCACGAATGACGAGGAAGAACCAGGGGCAAAACACCCACTTCCTGTCACTTCCCATAGCCGCTGAACACTACCCTCGCGTTCTCGCCCTGCACGCACGCGGCTGCTGGTCCTTGGACTGGTGCAGGTCGAAGAAGAAGAAAGCCCAAACACACACAGCCCGTTCTACCTACCACTCCCCCCCACCACTCCTGTCTACCCACTTTCCCCATGCACGTGGCTGCTGGTCCTTGGACTGGTGAAGGTCGAAGAAGAAGAACGGCCCAAACACACGATCCTTCCTCTCAACCACTCAGAACCGCTACCAATTCCCCCTTAGTTCCCTCTCAAACCTTCCCCACGCACGTGGCTGTTGGTCCTTGGACTGGTGCAGGTCGAAGAAGAAGAAGGGGCCAAACACCCGCTCGGCGTGCCACGGCCGTGCCGTGTTCTGCGCCATCTGAGGTGCGTCCCTCAATGCCCCGCCGTAGAACTCATGTGAAGGGAACTGGCGGATCTGGTGGGGCGTGCAAGGGAAGGGGAGACAGCACGGTGGGGAGGAGTTATGAGGGGCTGTGAGTGGCACAAGGGAGACGGCCACGGCCGCGCCGTGTTCTGCGCCATCTGCAGCGCGTCCCCCAACGCGCCGCCGTAGAACTCGTGTGAGGGGAACTGGCGGATCTGGTGGGTGATGGGGGAGGGGGACAGCACGGTGAAGAGGGGTTGTGAGTGGCACGAAGGATAAAGCCACGGTATCGCCGTGTTCTGCACCATCTGAGGCGCGTCCCTCAACGCGCCTCCGTAGAACTCGTGCGAGGGGAAGTGGCGGATCTGGTGGGTGGGGCATGACGAGGAGAAGCAAGGGGACGAGGCTTGGTTCATCACGGTAAGGAGGGGTTGTGAGAGACAACAGCATCACACTTATGCGTGTCCCTCAATGCGGGATGCAAGTGAGAGGGATTGGGTGTGTGAGAAACATGCAGCATACCATGGGGTGCATGCATCATACCATGGGGTGCATGCATCATACCATGGGGTGCATTCATCATACCATGGGGTGCATGCATCATACCATGGGGTGCATGCGGCATACCATGGGGTGCATGCGGTACTGTGTGTTGAGCATGACCACTGGGTATCCCGCTTGCTGCAGGCGAGAGAACATGCTCCCATGGTACCTGGTGGGGGTCAAGGGACATGGTGGGATGGATGTGAGGCATGGTGGGAGAGGCATGTGAGGGGACGAGATGCAATATGGGGAAGAGGAAGATAACAAATGGCAATGGGAGAGGCAGGATAGGGAGCAGTGGAAAAACAAATGATTTGAATACCGAGCAAGCAAAACCATATAACAGATCGCATCATAGCGCACGTGTCGCACACAAAACGTCATCCCACCCACCCGTAGTGCACAGTGCGCGTGGAGAGCACAGTGGCGGGCAGCAGCAGCGGGTCGCCCACCATGAAGTGACTCCGACAATATGCCCACCATGGAAGAGCAACAACATACAATATGCATACCGGCTAGCACGCCTCTCATGTCACCCACCCACCCAGTCTGCACGTGCTGAACGTGGAATGCTATCCCACCCACCCATAATGCACGGCTCGTGTGGAGAGCACAGTGGCGGGCAGCTGCAGCGGGTCGCCCACCATGAAAACCTGTGAACAGCCGTGTGTCATTGGGATCAGCGTTGATGGCTCCACCTGGTGCGAGGGGGACACACGGGGGCATGCAGGCATGAGCAATGCAGAGGCAGAGGCACCTGGAGAGGTAGAGACAGCGGCATTGGCAAAGTAATGGGGAGAGCACAGAGTCCGAGACAGAGACAAAGCGGAGAGGCAGATACAGGTGCTGCACTGACCGCTTGGGCTGCCTCGTCTGTGACCACTACGTCAAACGGACGAGACATGCGGTAACCGAGTCACTTTTGACGATTCCCAACATGGCTCAAAGGCAGATGCAAGGGAGAGGGAGAGGGACAGCAGCTGCACTGACCGCTTGGGCTGCCTCGTCTATGACCACGACGTCGAACGGCCGTGACATGCGCGAGAACACCCCCGACCCCGCAAAGGCGAGCGTTGAACACACCTTGGGATGGGTGGAGGGAAGGGGGAGGGAAGGGAGGTGTGGGAGGTGGGATATGAATAAAAAAACTATAAATCTTTGTGTAATTGGTTTTGTTGATCATGGGAAATCAACATTTATTAATTCCTTGACAAACAAAGATATGTGAGTCACGGGCATGGATGGATTGGGAGTGTGGGTGGTTTGTTGGACAGCGATGATGGTGATTTGCGGCAAGCGTGCACCAGCATGCTCTACAAGGCCCTCGGCTCACAACACAACACAACGGCAGTCTGTATGGTCCAGAGAGCAGAATAGCTTACACCGACGGGCACTAGGAGAGAAAAGGCGAGGTCTCACGATGGCTGCCTCGTCGAGAATGGCGACTCGTATTCTGTCGCGCTCCACCCCGCCCGCCCCTGCCATCTTGGCTCCCACCCCCGCTGCTGACCTCGCCATGCTGCTGGCGCGCTGAGATACCTGTGGGGGGGGGAAGGAGAGGAGGGGGGGGGTGGAGGAGGAAAAGGGAGATGAGGAGAGAGGGGATGTGATGTGCACTGATCATACAGTCACATGTGCCACCACAAACACTGCCACACATGCATGTCACAGCCATCCCATCTTAACAGCCATCCCATGAGCCATCCCACCAGCCATCCCACCCACCAGGTTATCCATGGCGACAGAGGCGACGGAGTGATGAGCATTGAGCCCCACTCGCACCACTGATGGCGAGTACATGCCTCCAGTATCATCCCTCAGGCCTGAGAGTGTTGGGTGGCATGGGATGGGGTGAATGGCGCACACAGATGGAGTGGCATTACGTGGAAAACAAGCAGTGGTAATATTGAGAGATGAGTGAAACCAAACACTACTCACGACATATCCACAGCAACGGCAGAGGCCCACCCCACCTGTGTGCAGCAGGCCCCACCTGTGTGCAGCAGGCGCAGCACGATCTCATCAAGAGCAGCGTTGGACGGCGCACACACGAGCACGTGCGCCCTCTGCTTGCGATGGCCCCCCAACACCTCCACCTGGTGGGGGGAGAGCGGGCGGAGAGGTTAGTTGGTTTGGACAAGAACGGATGGGGAGGGAGAGAAGAGAAAGATGGGAAAGGAGAAAAAAGGAGGAGGGCAGGGAGCACATGGATGCAGCACGCGACTGAACACGGGAGAAGCAGCTTCGGCAAGGGGAGTGAGCCAAGCAAAGTGGATTCACCACTCATTGCCTCTCAGCCGCATGCCATGCGCCGCCCACCCCACCTGCTGCATCCCATCCCATGGCCGGCCAGCCCCACCTGCTGTGTGCTGCCAAAGACGTTGCTGCTCGAGCTCCCTGCACCGCCCTCGCCCTCCTCATCATCTGGTTGCACGGCGTCTCGCGGGTTCACCCCATGCAGCCAAGGGGACGCTTGTGACACTTCTGAGAATCCCTACAAGTAAGCCGCACCTGCTGTGTGCTGCCAAAGACACCGCCACAAGAGCTCCCTGCACCACTCTCCTCCTCATCATCTGGCTGTACGGCATCGCGCGGATTCACCCCGTGCAGCCAGGGGGACGCGCGCACCCACTGCTGCTGCCCGCCTTTCCTCATGATCCCCACCTCACCTGCTGTGTGCTGCCGAAGACACCGCCACCTGAGCTCCCAGCATTGCCCTCTTCCTCATCGTCGGGTTGCCATGGCATGGTCTATTTGGTCTATTGCCATGGCAAGGTCTATTTGGTCTATTGCCATGGCAAGGTCTATTTGGTCTATTGCCATGGCAAGGTCTATTTGGTCTATTGCCATGGCAAGGTCTATTTGGTCTATTGCCATGGCAAGGTCTATTTGGTCTATTGCCAAAGCAAGGTCTATTTGGTCTATTGCCATGGCAAGGTCTATTTGGTCTATTGCCATGGCAAGGTCTATTTGGTCTATTGCCATGGCAAGGTCTATTTGGTCTATTGCCATGGCAAGGTCTATTTGGTCTATTGCCATGGCGAGGTCTATTTGGTCTATTGCCATGGCAAGGTCTATTTGGTCTATTGCCATGGCAAGGCCTATTTGGTCTATTGCCATGGCAAGGTCTATTTGGTCTATTGCCATGGCAAGGTCTATTTGGTCTATTGCCATGGCAAGGTCTATTTGGTCTATTGCCATGGCAAGGTCTATTTGGTCTATTGCCATGGCAAGGTCTATTGGTCTATTGCCATGGCATGGTCTATTGGTCTATTGCCATGGCATGGTCTATTTGGTCTATTGCCATGGCAAGGTCTATTTGGTCTATTGCCATGGCAAGGTCTATTTGGTCTATTGCCATGGCAAGGTCTATTTGGTCTATTGCCATGGCAAGGTCTATTTGGTCTATTGCCATGGCAAGGTCTATTTGGTCTATTGCCATGGCAAGGTCTATTTGGTCTATTGCCATGGCAAGGTCTATTTGGTCTATTGCGATGGCAAGGTCTATTTGGTCTATTGCCATGGCGAGGTCTATTTGGTCTATTGCCATGGCAAGGTCTATTTGGTCTATTGCCATGGCAAGGTCTATTTGGTCTATTGCCATGGCAAGGTCTATTTGGTCTATTGCCATGGCAAGGTCTATTTGGTCTGTTGCCATGGCATGGTCTATTGGTCTATTGCCATGGCAAGGTCTATTGGTCTATTGCCATGGCAAGGTCTATTGGTCTATTGCCATGGCATGGTCTATTGATCTAATGCCATGGCAAGGTCTATTTGGTCTATTGCCATGGCAAGGTCTATTTGGTCTGTTGCCATGGCATGGTCTATTGGTCTATTGCCATGGCAAGGTCTATTGGTCTATTGCCATGGCAAGGTCTATTTGGTCTATTGCCATGGCACGGTCTATTTGGTCCATTGCCATGGCATGGTCTATTGGTCTATTGCCATGGCATGGTCTATTGGTCTATTGCCATGGCAAGGTCTATTTGGTCTATTGCCATGGCAAGGTCTATTTGGTCTATTGCCATGGCAAGGTTTATTTGGTCTATTGCCATGGCATGGTCTATTCGTCTATTGCCATGGCATGGTCTATTGGTCTATTGCCATGGAAAGGCCTATTTGGTCTATTGCCATGGCAAGGTCTATTTGGTCTATTGCCATGGCGAGGTCTATTTGGTCTATTGCCATGGCAAGGACTATTTGGTCTATTGCCATAACATGGTCTATTGGTCTATTGCCATGGCATGGTCTATTGGTCTATTGCCATGGCAAGGTCTATTGGTCTATTGCCATGGCAAGGTCTATTGGTCTATTGCCATGGCATGGTCTATTGGTCTATTGCCATGGCATGGTCTATTGGTCTATTGCCATGGCAAGGTTTATTTGGTCTATTGCCATGGCATGGTCTATTCGTCTATTGCCATGGCATGGTCTATTGGTCTATTGCCATGGCATGGTCTATTGGTCTATTGCCATGGCAAGGTCTATTGGTCTATTGCCATGGCAAGGTCTATTGGTCTATTGCCATGGCATGGTCTATTGGTCTATTGCCATGGCATGGTCTATTGGTCTATTGCCATGGCTAGGTTTATTTGGTCTATTGCCATGGCATGGTCTATTCGTCTATTGCCATGGCATGGTCTATTGGTCTATTGCCATGGAAAGGCCTATTTGGTCTATTGCCATGGCAAGGTCTATTTGGTCTATTGCCATGGCAAGGTCTATTTGGTCTATTGCCATGGCAAGGACTATTTGGTCTATTGCCATAACATGGTCTATTGGTCTATTGCCATGGCATGGTCTATTGGTCTATTGCCATGGCAAGGTCTATTGGTCTATTGCCATGGCATGGTCTATTTGGTCTATTGCCATGGCATGGTCTATTGGTCTATTGCCATGGCATGGTCTATTTTGTCTATTGCCATGGCAAGGTCTATTTGGTCTATTGCCATGGCATGGTCTATTGGTCTATTGCCATGGCATGGTCTATTTGGTCTATTGCCATGGCAAGGTCTATTTGGTCTATTGCCATGGCATGGTCTATTGGTCTATTGCCATGGCATGGTCTATTGGTCTATTGCCATGGCAAGGTCTATTGGTCTATTGCCATGGCAAGGTCTATTGGTCTATTGCCATGGTATGGTCTATTGGTCTATTGACATGGCATGGTCTATTGGTCTATTGCCATGGCAAGGTCTATTGCCATGGCATGGTCTATTTGGTCTATTGCCATGGCAAGGTCAATTGGTCTATTGCCATGGCAAGGTCTATTGGTCTATTGCCATGGCATGGTCTATTTGGTCTATTGCCATGGCAAGGTCTATTTGGTCTATTGCCATGGCAAGGTCTATTTGGTCTATTGCCATGGCAAGGTCTATTGGTCTATTGCCATGGCATGGTCTATTGGTCTATTGCCATGGCAAGGTCTATTTGGTCTATTGCCATGGCAAGGTCTATTTGGTCTATTGCCATGGCAAGGTCTATTGGTCTATTGCCATGGCATGGTCTATTGGTCTATTGCCATGGCAAGGTCTATTTGGTCTATTGCCATGGCAAGGTCTATTTGGTCTATTGCCATGGCATGGTCTATTGGTCTATTGCCATGGCAAGGTCTATTTGGTCTATTGCCATGGCAAGGTCTATTTGGTCTATTGCCATGGCAAGGTCTATTTGGTCTATTGCCATGGCATGGTCTATTGGTCTATTGCCATGGCATGGTCTATTGGTCTATTGCCATGGCAAGGTCTATTGGTCTATTGCCATGGCAAGGTCTATTTGGTCTATTGCCATGGCAAGGTCTATTTGGTCTATTGCCATGGCATGGTCTATTGGTCTATTGCCATGGCAAGGTCTATTGGTCTATTGGTCTGTTGCCATGTTCACCCCGTGCAGCTAGGAAGACGTTTGTGACACTTCTGAAACTGCTGCCCCGTAATTCTAAAAAGTTAATCCCCACCTGCTGTGTGCTGCCAAAGACGTTGCTGCTCGAGCTCCCTGCACCACTCTCCTCCTCATCATCTGGCTGCGTTTACGGCATCGCGCGGGTTCACCCCGTGCAGCCAGGGGGACGCGCGCACCCACTGCTGCTGCCGCTGCTGCCATGTCAGCCGTGTCATGTGCGTGATGTGCTGGGCGCCGTTGCTGGAGTGGGATGAAGGGAGGGGTAGGGAAGAAGGAAAAGGGATGGGTTTTGACAGCCCCTGCCACCGCCGCAATTGCTGCTGCTGCTGGTACTGCCACAGTACAATGTGGGTAACAATGGCCTCATATTCCCCACGCACACACACACGCTCTCTCACCCACCCACCCACCCACCCACTCACCCAGCATCCCCCATCTCATGCGCCGGCCGCCCATGCAGCACAACACTGAGCAGCCCCAGGATAGCCTTCGTCTTGCCTGTGCCAGGCGGCCCCTGGATGAGCACCAGGGGGGTGCTGCTGCCACGTGAGCATTACTGACACCATTTTCCCCACGCATACTCTCGCACACACACACTCTCTCACTCATCCCCGTCCACCCACCCACTCACCCAGCATCCCCCATCTCATGCGCCGGCCGCCCATGCAGCACAACACTGAGCAGCCCCAGGATAGCCTTCGTCTTGCCTGTGCCAGGCGGCCCCTGGATGAGCACCAGGGGGGTGCTGCTGCCACGTGAGCATTACTGACACCATTTTCCCCACGCATACTCTCGCACACACACACTCTCTCACTCATCCCCGTCCACCCACCCACTCACCCAGCATCCCCCATCTCATGCGCCGGCCGCCCATGCAGCACAACACTGAGCAGCCCCAGGATAGCCTTCGTCTTGCCTGTGCCAGGCGGCCCCTGGATGAGCACCAGGGGGGTGCTGCTGCCACGTGAGCATTACTGACACCATTTTCCCCACGCATACTCTCGCACACACACACTCTCTCACTCATCCCCGTCCACCCACCCACTCACCCAGCATCCCCCATCTCATGCGCCGGCCGCCCATGCAGCACAACACTGAGCAGCCCCAGGATAGCCTTCGTCTTGCCTGTGCCAGGCGGCCCCTGGATGAGCACCAGGGGGGTGCTGCTGCCACGTGAGCATTACTGACACCATTTTCCCCACGCATACTCTCGCACACACACACTCTCTCACTCATCCCCGTCCACCCACCCACTCACCCAGCATCCCCCATCTCATGCGCCGGCCGCCCATGCAGCACAACACTGAGCAGCCCCAGGATAGCCTTCGTCTTGCCTGTGCCAGGCGGCCCCTGGATGAGCACCAGGGGGGTGCTGCTGCCACGTGAGCATTACTGACACCATTTTCCCCACGCATACTCTCGCACACACACACTCTCTCACTCATCCCCGTCCACCCACCCACTCACCCAGCATCCCCCATCTCATGCGCCGGCCGCCCATGCAGCACAACACTGAGCAGCCCCAGGATAGCCTTCGTCTTGCCTGTGCCAGGCGGCCCCTGGATGAGCACCAGGGGGGTGCTGCTGCCACGTGAGCATTACTGACACCATTTTCCCCACGCATACTCTCGCACACACACACTCTCTCACTCATCCCCGTCCACCCACCCACTCACCCAGCATCCCCCATCTCATGCGCCGGCCGCCCATGCAGCACAACACTGAGCAGCCCCAGGATAGCCTTCGTCTTGCCT